TTTTCACTGGCAGTTACAAGTAGAAATTAACGTGAATGGTTTGGTTATGCACTTTTGTTCAAGATTTTGGAGTCCAAGTTTGAGAAAAGATCAGTACTGAAAAAAAAAAAAGATCTGTTTATTCTAAACAGATGTATTCCGTTATGGGTGGGAGCTCGTGGCATTGAGTTTGACTGGAAATACATTCAAATGAGCTTTGATTCCAACATCAGTCTGGTAAGATACGTGCTTTCTTTGTGCTGTAGTTTTTGTGTTTGCGTGCATCAAAAATCCAGTATCACAAATATATGTATTTATTTATTTACTTTACTGTAACAGAGCTTTTCTACTCATTGTTTTATAATATTAAATGTGATATGTATATATATTGGGACACAATTTTGTAAGTCCGATTTACTCAGTTCTGTTGCTTTATTCTGTACCTAAACTTTTTTTTTTTTTTTTTTTTGATGTTCACTCGATACGACCTTCCCAAAAGTTTCCGGCTCCCTGTTACCATCCTGCTGGGATTGTGTGTTTATAAGGGCTTTCTTATGGAGTGAGTATCACAGCAATACTTGTTTAGCTTAAAACTACTTTTGGCACAATTTTTCATCTAAGGTATTACAACAGAGCTGGTTTAAGTCAGCGTTTTATCTGTACTTTTAGTCTGTCTACATTATTTTTTAGTCAAAATTCAGATTGTATTCAAATTTGTAGCACATTTCTAGTAAACAGGGTTTATGATTTATGAAAATAATTAAATTTGAGTAAGGATTCACAATATATTTTGACCAAATTGATATTGACCATTATTTGCTTTTTTTTTTTTTTTAAGTTGGCATCAGTCTGTTTAGACAAATATTGGATGAGGATAGTATTGGTGCTTAATTTTTCCTATTCACTCAGTTTGCTGTTTAACTACAGAAGATTTTTAAAAAGTACATTAAAAAAATGTACCTTCTGTACATTTATTACATTTTAATGCTTATTTTCCCTTTATGAATGAATATTTCAAACAGCTTTGATTCACAATATCAGCTGTTATATCCATTTTTGGCTGTGGCATAAAAATAACTATTTCTAATTTTCAATATTGGACAGCATTTCTGTACTTACATTAATCTCCAAACAGCATTTGATTTAACTTGTAAATAGAAGTCAATTAGATGTTCAGTTTGTATGATAATTATAGGCTTTTTATTCATTTATTTAATTTTATTTATCACAATGCATTGAAAAATGCTTATTTAAAACAGTACAGTTTAATACAGTAGAGCTAATGCACTTGTTCGTCTATCCTCTAGATGGCAGTGTTGCCTTAAGTTAGATTTTATTGCCATTGCAAATGTAGTTTCTGGCTGTTTGGAATTAAATGCTAGCTTATTATTTACTAAATATCACACAGTATGCACTGTATGCTGCTTACTGTTTTTTTTTTTTTTTAAATAGCATGTGGAATGCATTACACAGCATAAAATATGTAATACAGTAGTATGCAGAGTTGTCAAATAACATTTTCACCTTGCATGTAAGCAAGCATCTTGCCTTTATTTCACATTTTTAATTCAGTTTTGCAGGAATATTCTGATGTTTTCATTTAAGTTGCATGTGGGTTACAGCATTAATGTTGTGTATTAGGTCCTCCGGGTGTTTCACGCATATGAAACTCCAGAAATAATAAGTGTAATATGTTGATATACTTTTCCGAATTAAATCACTGTGTGTCCTTTTCAAGAAATCTTATGCTCTTTGTTTTGATTTTTCACTGCACATAACTGTTTATTTCCATGTTTGTGTGTCTCCTCCAGGCTGTTTGTTCATGTTTTCCTCCTGGGCAGCTGGACAGCTCTCCTAGTGAAAGCCGTGCTCACTGGTGCCATCTCCCTATGTTCACTCTTCCTATTCGTCACACTCGTTCACAGCAACTAAACCCTTATACTGTACAGCGTCTCCACTCAAGAGGCATTTCAAGTATTTGAAGAACTGATCCACATTCCTGCTTTGAATACTGTTGGCTTTTGTATCTGCTACAAAGAGACCGTGAGAGTATAACTGTTATTAGTGAACATGTGTTTATACTTTATTTAATTAACTAAATAAACATTTGACTACGATATGAAGGAATACTTGGACAGTTTTGGGAGAGAAACCAGTTATGGTGATACTTACTCAAAGAAAAACCTTCTTAACGACAAACTGATTTATTAATAAAGGCCACATGGGACAAAAATCATTTGCAGTTTTTGTATTAGTGGTAGATTTTAGTTATCATAAAATATTGCCAAGTATGAGCAAACCAAACCCAGCATACATTTTTTTTTTTTTTACATTTTCTAGAAACAAACTACAATAATGTAATTGGTAACACTTTAAAAAGATGTATGATTTGTGAACTTTAGTTAGCTATATTAGTAAATATGAACAAACAATAAAAATAGTTCTACAGCATTTATTAATACATTTATTAATATGTTTTAAAAAGAAAAGTTGTATCTGTTACTGTGTACTAACATGAACAAGCAATTGTATTTTTTTTATTAACTAACATAAAGTTTAATAAATGCTGGTTCATGTTATAGGTTCATGTTTACTAATGCATTAAAGGAATAGTTCACCTTACTAAAATACTTGCTGAAAATTTGCTCATCCTCAGGCCATCGGAGATGTAAACTAATTTCTTCATAAGAACATATTTTGAGAAATTTAGCATTACCTCATTTGCTCATCAGTGGCTCCTCTGCAGTGAATGGGTGCCGTCAGAATGAGAGTCCAGACAGCTGAAAAAAAACATCACAATAAGCTTGTGAAGCAAAAAGCTGTGTGTTTCTAGTAAACAAATACAAACAAATGAACTATAAACCATTGTTTCTGGCTAAAATAAGAATCCTCTATCATAATATTGCTTTCTCCAATGAAAAAGTCATCTTGTCTGAATCAGGAGAAAAATATACACAGATCGAGCATTGTTAACATTCTGACGGCACCCATTCACTGCAGAGGATCCATTGGTGAGCAAGTAATGTAATGCTGAATTTCTCCAAATCTGTTCCAATCAAGAAACAAACTCATCTACATCTTGGATGGCCTGAGGGCGAGTACATTTTTTGCTAATTTAATATTAGGTTGAACTATTCCTCTAACTAATGTAACTTTATTAACTATTCCTTTAACAAATGAGCCCTTATTGTAAAGTGTTACCTTTTAATCCTTTAACAGCACAACTATTGTCCTGCTATTTCAGTTCAGCCGAGCTTCACATTCCTGGCACATTAAAACTCATAAATCTGCTGGGAATGTAAGGAACAAGAATGGTTACATATGGGTTTTGAAAAAAAAAAATATTAATAAATTAAAAAATAATAATAAACATAGAGTTAATAATCAGGTTAATATGCAGCTTATGATGCATCTCTGCTAAAAACTAATTTAAAACTGCTGATGATGCTCATAAAACAGTCAAAACTGTCTTATTGACCAGTATAAAGTGTTTTGTGCACTTTCATGCTGCTTTTAGCTGGATACACACCATAAATAAAGTCAGGAATGTGTCGTATGCTGTTGGTGATATATATAAAAAAAAAAACGTGTTTACCATTATTAGCCATTCAGTTCTATAGTTAAAATAAAGAGAAATATCCAAAAGATTTTGATTTAAAAAAAAAAACGGCTTAAAGTTTTTGTATTTTAACCCCCTCAAACACTTTTTTTTTTGCCTGCAGGTTGAATAAACTAAGCTTTGAGACTGTAAGAGATGCATGCAATTATCAACAGTTTATAAGTTGATAAGAACTAGACATGTGCATTCTCATCATTCTTCCCTTATTGAAAAGTTACTGTGATAACTTGAACCTGTTTTCCCCTTCTTATCAACTATCTGTCAAGCTATTTTACCTGCAGTGATAGCTTTGCAGATCTGAAATAAAAAGAGCTTTGTTTCACTCTCCAGCAAAATTTGTGATAAGAACTGAATAAAGAGCCAAGCCCAGTGGAGTTTCACTCTTGGATTATGGGTCACTCACTCACATGTATTATATTACCTGCAGAGACTAGTCTTTATCAACGCTGCAGATAAACAATCAAGCTGTACTCCAACTCTATTGTCACTTGTGTTCATCTCTCAGGGCATTTTTTCTGCTTTTTTTTTTTTTTTTTTTTTTTTTTTTCAACCTTTGTGTGCTGCAGATAAACAATCAAGCTGTACTCCAACTCTATTGTCACTTGTGTTCATCTCTCATGGCATTTTTTCAGCTTTTTTTTTTCTTTTTTTTTCAACCTTTGTGATCTTTCTTTGAAACTTTATTTCAAATTCAAGTTTTTCTTCTTTCCTCTTTTAAACTTTTTTTTCATCTTTTGTTTGTTCTTTGAAGTTTTGTTACATGTTGTGTTTTGTTTTTTCAAATGTTTTCAAATCTTTTTTACAGTCTGTTTAATTCCTTCTTTTGAACTTTATTTCATTATTGTTATTTCCTTAAACCTCTTTTAAACAGTATTTTGATCTTTTATTGTTTTGATTTGTTCTTTGAGTTTTTGTTATAAACTTTTTTCTTTCAAATGTTTTCAATCTTTTTTTACAGACTCTTAACAATTCTTTTAATCTTTGATTCTTTGAAGTTTTGTTACATTCTGTATTGTATATATAATTACATTTACATTTAGTCATTTAGCAGACGCTTTTATCCAAAGCGACTTACAAATGAGGACAATAAAAGCAGTCAAAACTAACAAAAGAGCAACAATATATAAGTGCAAATGACAAGTCTCGGTTAGCCTAACGCAGTACACGTAGCAAGGTATATATACAGAATATATATACATATATATATATATATATATATGTTGTTCGCAATCGTAGTATTACCATTTGTTTGCAAATATTACGCTTTTTTGGTTCTTTCTTTCCTTTGACAAAAAAAGGAGGGATTTTATGTGCAAAAAAAAAATGTAAGAAGACTTTGCAACTATCCTTTTCCTTTTTAGTGTTTTTTTTTCCTTCACATAAAATCCCCCTTTGTAAGTGCACTTGGACACAAGTAACCTTTCTTCCAAACTCTCCTGTGAATGTCAGCAGCAGATATACGGCTCCCTGTTGGGTTAATGAATGCTCTCACCGTCAAACGTCACTCTCGCTCTCTTTCTCTTTCACTCACTCTCTCTTTCTCTTTCTCTTTCACTCACTCTCTCTTTCTCTCCTCTCCAAACACAAGTGAATTCACACAGAACACGGTGAACAAAACTTCCTTGTTTTCAAGGTCCGGTCAGCAGAGAATGGCGGACAGCGATTTGAATCTGGTTTACCATGGTCTCCTGCTACCTAAGATAAATCATACAGAGGAAAGTCTCAACTACCTCCAGAATTTCCAAGTCAAAGATGATGATGTCTTTGCTGTTACCTATCCAAAATCCGGTAAGATCATTCTTTGTTTTCGATACTGTTTAGTTCTCATGCGTTCAGCAACACAGACTTATTGCATTACATTTTCCTCATATTGCTATAATCTTTGCAAAAGATGCAACATGTTATATGCTTATGCACATATATAAATTGTACAGTTTGCAAAATAAATTGTGCAGCAGTTAAACGATGCAAAACTATTATTTGATTATTACTCTGTCATGAATTCAGTCTGTCTGCATTTTGATTTTCCTCAGACTGCAAATCACTCTATTCTGTTTTATAGAATATCCAGCAATGAATTACTCTATGCATTAACTAATTACTCTATGCAATGACATTTTAATATTGAACTTCACAGGCTAACGCATTCGGCATAATAATGTCTTCATTATTCTATGTATTGCAAATTAAAATTCTGTGTTATTTAATGCATGAAGGTGATCAGTCCATCCTTCATTAGTTTCTGCCTGTGTTTTTCAGGTACCACATGGATGCAGGAAATTCTTCCTCCGCTCTTGAATGGAGGAGACCTGACGTCCGTGGAAACCATCCCTAACTGGGACAGGGTTCCATGGCTGGAGGAAACACGAGCTTCAGTGGTCTTAGATAAGCTCCCTTCACCACGAGCCATCGTCTCCCACATGCCTTATAATTTGATGCCTTCCTCCTTTTTCAAGTCCAAGGCCAAGGTACAGAAAGCAGCAGAACAATCCTGTTTATAAATAGTCTGTATAGTTAATGTTTTACTTTTGGCATAACACTGGGAAAGAAAGATGTTCCGCGTTCACTAGTCTGTATTGACATCTGCTGCCAAAGAAAAAGTTAGGCCATTTAAACTGGTTCATCAGAATGTAAAAAAAAAAATATATATATATATCATTTACAATCTACAACTGGCTACAAGATGCCATATTTTCACAGTACTTTTTACAGTACTAGTTCTACAGTCTCTTACAAATAAATGACAGCTGCATGGTTGTAGATTAACTTTAATAATGTGATGTTGCAACTTCACTTCCCAGCATACACTGCAGCACACATGAATTATGTGGTCGTTTGTTTATTTTACTAAATTCTGGTTTATTCTGCAGTTTGTTTTTTGTCACTTTGTTTTATAAGAATGTCGGTTGTCACCATTCATCAATTTTTCACTAAACACAGCCTCTAAAGCTAAACATATGAAAACAAACAAAATGTCAAACTACTCTCTGGTGCCAGAAAACATTATGGACAACAAGAAGTCACCCTTCCTCAGAAAAGGTACCCAGGTTTTCAAGTATCAGCTGAGAGCCGTTTTTTTTTTAAAAACATTGTGATGATATTTGTTCTTGAATGAAACCTCTCTGCTTATTTAAAGGTATCGCTGGAGACTGGAAGAATCACTTCAGCCCTGAACTTGATGCCAAGTTCACAGCTGTAATTCAAGAGGAAATGAAAGGAAGCAACATCAAATTCCCGTGGGATGAGTGAATCTCTTGTAATGATATCTCGGTGCACATCAAAATAAACAGTCATAGATGGAACATGTGATCGTTTAATTCACTGTGTGTTTATTCAAGTTTATTGCAGAGTTATTGCAGCAATGTTCTCTTGTTGTCCTGAAGCTATGTTGGAATTGCTCAAGATGATAAGACGTTAAACAGTTAGACCACTTTTGGGTTTTTGCAACTTAACAGTGAGGGCGCAACATCTAACATCTGTTTCGTGTTACTGAGAGATGTTGCAAACTCTTGACACAGGAATGTGACCACACAATAATGAGATTTATGTATAGTCATATTTATGGACTGCTTTTCACAGTGAAATATCATTTATCTAATCAGGTTAGCCCAGCATCTCGTGGTTTTGAATTAAGCATAAGAAATAATATCAGTATACCTACCTACATACAAAAACCATGTATATGAACTATTTATGTTTATATGAAGCTTAATGCATATAAAACAAAAGCAGCACAATTATCCTTGTGTTGTCAGATTCTTGTCATTCCTTAAAGAAATCATTCACCCAAAAATTAACATTTGCATTTACTCACCTTAAGGCCAAAGATGATGTATGAGTTTGCTTCTTCATCAGATTCAAAACCGATTTGGAGAAATTAAGCCAAAAAAATTAAAAAATTAGCTATTATATTAGCTATAAAATGTGTGTGAGATTCATAACATTTTTATGGGCTGAGAAAATAAATGCTCTTTCAGCCTGTCCAAAAGCACCTATGTTGTTTCTGCTGTTTGGAGAGACACACACACACACACAAAAACACATATTTATATGAACTCCCCTCACATTCAACTGCTTTTATTTCCAGCAAATTTCTGAACGTGTGTTAATATTTGTATTACCTTGACACATAAACTGAACATGCTTCAAGCACATTTAACAAACAGAAATGGAATAATGAGTCCCAAAACCAAGGAGGGGTCAATATCAAAAGTCTCTTGTGTGCATCAGCTGCTTTGAGTACAGTTCATCTCATTCTTATTGAATGCACGATTTGTAAGTTCTTGCTGTTAGATGTTTCTCCACTCTTCCAGCAGGGCATCAGCAAGTTCTCAAGCACAACTGGGGGTCATATAGTTATATGTTGCACGTTTGCATTTTGCCTATCAATGTTTAGTCTCTTAAGCGCTGTTCCTTGTAGGTGCATGTGTGATAGTAGTTTATGATTGACTGAATAAGTATGAAAAACCCTTTACAAGATCTGTAAAGCTTATCTGGATTTTAAATGATTTTTAAAATTGCAGCATCCTAAAAATAATAATAAATTATGTAAATATATATAATTATATAAAAAGTATATACAAACAATTTTTATATAAACATGCAATTTCTAATATATATATATATATATATATAAATAAAATTAGAGGGTCATATATATATACAGTGGGTACGGAAAGTATTCAGACCCCCTTAAATTTTTCACTCTTTGTTATATTGCAGCCATTTGCTAAAATCATTTAAGTTAATTTTTTTTCCTCATTAATGTACACACAGCACCCCATATTGACAGAAAAACACAGAATTGTTGACATTTTTGCAGATTTATTAAAAAAGAAAAACTGAAATATCATATGGTCCTAAGTATTCAGACCCTTTGCTCAGTATTTAGTAGAAGCATCCTTTTGATCTAATACAGCCATGAGTCTTTTTGGGAAAGATGCAACAAGTTTTTCACACCTGGATTTGGGGATCCTCTGCCATTCCTCCTTGCAGATCCTCTCCAGTTCTGTCAGGTTGGATGGTAAACGTTGGTGGACAGCTAATTTTAGGTCTCTCCAGAGATGCTCAATTGGGTTTAAGTCAGGGCTCTGGCTGGGCCATTCAAGAACAGTCACAGAGTTGTTGTGAAGTCACTCCTTCGTTATTTTAGCTGTGTGCTTAGGGTCATTGTCTTGTTGGAAGGTAAACCTTTGGCCCAGTCTGAGGTCCTGAGCACTCTGGAGAAGGTTTTCGTCCAGGATATCCCTGTACTTGGCTGCATTCATCTTTCCCTCGATTGCAACCAGTCGTCCTGTCCCTGCAGCTGAAAAACACCCCCACAGCATGATGCTGCCACCACCATGCTTCACTGTTGGGACTGTATTGGACAGGTGATGAGCAGTGCCTGGTTTTCTCCACACATACTGCTTAGAATTAAGGCCAAAAAGTTCTATCTTGGTCTCATCAGACCAGAGAATCTTATTTCTCACCATCTTGGAGTCCTTCGGGTGTTTTTTAGCAAACTCCATGCGGGTTTTCATGTGTCTTGCACTGAGGAGAGGCTTCCGTCGGGCCACTCTGCCATAAAGCCCCGACTGGTGGAGGGCTGCAGTGATGGTTGACTTTCTACAACTTTCTCCCATCTCCCGACTGCATCTCTGGAGCTCAGCCACAGTGATCTTTGGGTTCTTCTTTACCTCTCTCACCAAGGCTCTTCTCCCCCGATAGCTCAGTTTGGCCGGACGGCCAGCTCTAGGAAGGGTTCTGGTCGTCCCAAATGTCTTCCATTTAAGGATTATGGAGGCTACTGTGCTCTTAGGAACCTTAAGTGCAGCAGAATTTTTTTTTGTAACCTTGGCCAGATCTGTGCCTTGCCATAATTCTGTCTCTGAGCTCTTCAGGCAGTTCCTTTGACCTCATGATTCTCATTTGCTCTGACATGCACTGTGAGCTGTAAGGTCTTATATAGTCAGGTGTGTGGCTTTCCTAATCAAGTCCAATCAGTATAATCAAACACAGCTGGACTCAAATGAATGTGTAGAACCATCTCAAGGATGATCAGAAGGAATGGACAGCACCTGAGTTAAATATTTGAGTGTCACAGCAAAGGGTCTGAATATTTAGGACCATGTGATATTTCAGTTTTTCTTTTTAATAAATCTGCAAAAATGTCAACAATTCTGTGTTTTTCTGTCAATATGGGGTGCTGTGTGTACATTAATGAGGAAAAAAAAATAACTTAAATGATTTTAGCAAATGGCTGCAATATAACAAAGAGTGAAAAATTTAAGGGGGTCTGAATACTTTCCGTACCCACTGTATATATATGTGTAAAATAAAAAAGTTGGTTAAGTGTGAATGATAGGTTGTTTACATGTTTATTTGTTATAAAGCAGTTGTCCATTCAAGGTTACATTTTTACCAGTTATCACTGAATTGCACAATGTGGCTTATTGCTTTATTTTAAATCGCTATCGTCAGAGACTAAGATGCTTTATGCCTAAAAACATTCCTTTTCAAAGAAATGACCTCATTGTGAGCAAGCATCCATGTCATTCACTTCCAGATTATTCAAATTATGAAGTTTGCTGCGCTGTGATTGGTTGCCAGATTGGCTGCAAGTAAACTGGCATTGACATATGTGAAAGCGCTCACGTTTGCACTTGCATTGTTGTGTACGTGCAGACCAGTGTATGTTAACCCGGTAAAGCGTACGTCTTCTCCTCTGAGGGCATTTCACCCCAGGGCCTCTGCCGTACGTGACTGTGCTGGGGTTCGGCACCTCCCTCTTTACCGATAACGCTAATGAACTTCCTGTGATTTCCTGTAATTGGGGCACTTTGGGCGGGACACACGTGTGAGCGTGGGCATCGGCTAGGCATGTTGATGGCATTTTTCATGTGTATAGGCTGGGGCTGTGATGTCGGGCACGCTGACATTGTTGCTTCGTGATTGGACGGCGGAACCATATATCCTCACGTATTGTCTGCGCTAGACAGCTGGCGTACTTGCAGTCGCAGTGCGCATGTGCTTCGCCATGCAGACGGACACAGATAAAAGATCAGCTTAGATCATTAGGACAGGATGGACACTAGAATAGACGGATATCAAAGTGTCTCCTCTCTGATGTCCCTGGAAGACCCAGCATGGCATGGTGGGTGTCCATGGGTGTGGATGACAGCGTCTCTCTCAACTCTCTCAAGAACAAAGGGTCAGCTTGTATTTGGACTAGTGTCGACACTCCTGGGACGCAGAGATAAAGAAAGGGAGGGCCGTCTGACATAAAAATGAGCACTGGCACTGCTCATTTAAATCAATCATCCAAAGGAATTTGTTTCCTTTTATTCTGTCATTCTGCTGTCATCCTTTCCAATCTGCTGACTGAAGATTTACTTGAAAAGCACAGAAAACATCACAGTCATCTTCAGAACATTTACATAACCAGTCAGTCTTGTCTGTTCTCATATATTAAACTTTCTTTATTATGATTTCCTACATTTTAGAATAATAGTGAAATCATCAAAATGGTTTAATAACACAAGTGAATGTGGAGATTATAGTGACCAGAAATACATTATACAGAAACCAATCAAACCTGTATTTTAGCTTCTTCAAAGGTTATTCTAACTGGTCCATTTATTTATTTTATTTTATTTGATTAGATTTTTTAAAGCTTTTTTTTAAAGAATTTTATAAGTGCAATTGATATTTGTCTACAGGACTAATGTTTGTTCTTCTGTCTGGTCCAATTCATCTCTTTCTAAAACTCTTCTTCTTATTATTTTATTTTTTAATTATTATTATTTAATTTAAAGGGGTCATATGACGTTGCTAAAAAAGAACATTACGCCAAAGCCCCTTGCCCTGCCAGCTCCGCCCGGGCTCCCTAGCCTACTGGCTCCGCCCAAGCTCCTTGCCCTGCTGGCTCCACCCAAGCTCCTTGCCCTGCCGCCAAACAAAGTAGTTTCTCTTTCAGAACGAAAAACACAGCGTCTCCACGACATGGCGGCAGCAACAATACTACAGCGAGAATCAAAGTTACGCCTTCTTTCTTTGCGTTAAATATGAACAAGGGATTTATAACATTAAAGAAATCCTTTATTTATAACATGTACATGAAAAATCTAAAAGATTAGACACAACTATGGGACACGGTCGTGCAGCAGCGAGCAACAGTGAAAGAAACCTCAAGGTTATAAATGTGTGAAATTGTATAGGGCCCCATTCCTGTATTTCGCCTTGGGCCCCCAAATCACTAAATCCGCCCCTGCTTCCCACACAGTGACCGTAGACATGTGGGGGCGTGTTTAAACGAGGCGTTTTAG